ACACCAGTATCCTTCCGTTTGGCATTACCCGCTAATTATCGCATTTCTCTCACTTTTCATGTTTCACTTCTCAAACCCGCTGGTGGTCCGAGAGCGGAGGAGGAGGAGCAGACCAGTGACCAGGGCCCTCCACCCATCATGATGGACGGCGAGGAGATTTACCAGGTTCGAGAACTACTCGATTCCAGACGTCGGGGTGGCACCCTCCAATATCTGGCGGACTGGGAGGGGTACGGTCCGGAGGAGCATTCCTGGGTCAATGCTAAGGACATCCTCGACCCCACAATGCGAAGTCTTGTATTGCCCCGGTGTACATTTCTGAGCGTTTCTTCCCGTGTCTGGCCTCCCTGTTTATTCCCGTACTCTTCCTATTGTTCTCTGATTACTGATTGTTTGCTGCCTGCCCCGACCCTTCTGCACGTCCCTGACTAACGATTTGGCTTCTCTCCGAGATTAGATAATAAAATGGAGTCAGATTTGAGTTAAACCTAAATTGAATAACTCTGCGCGCTGAAAAGACCGAACACGCAAGAAACCTTCATCCACCACTGGATACCTTCATTGGGCCAAGTGCGTGGACCTTACATCTCGTTACAGCAGCGAATGGGTGCCATCAGAATGAGAGTTCAAACTGCAACACTGCAACACTCTTGCGTTAAATTTGATATTGTAAATTAATCTTTCTCATTTTAAGTCTATTAATGCTAAAGATCTCCCCTACTGTTTTTGCTAGTAATACAAGAAATGAGACTGTTGTCCTACAAAACATAATCACTCTCTCATTATTGAAACCAGAGTTCATGAAGAAAAGATCATGTTTCTGCAAGCATATCATGAAGCAATCAGGACAAATAAATTAAAAGTCACAAAATCTAATATAAAGAAACAACTTTATGATTCAGGCTGGAGAGAAGAGCCAGGACAGGAATTCATTCTCTTGTGCAGGTTTTAGATTTTAGATTTACATTCATTTTACTAAAAGTAGTGCCGAAGATAATGTACCAAACTCAGTCTGTCAATGACCAGTTCACTGTGAGCGACTAATGACAGGCTGCTAGAATGCTAGAATGTGGTGTCCATGGCAATAGAAACAACAGTGAACAACAGCTTTTAGATTTGCCTTATTCTCATTTGCTGTTGAATATGGGTAACACTAACACCTTGGAATAATCTGAAAATGTTCTTTTAATCACACTGCCCTGTGTCAGATATTAGTGCTTCACCAGAAAAAAAAAATTGTTCAGCTTTAGAATATCCACTTAAACTATATAAAAAGTACTTTCTCACCTCTCATTACATTCCTGTCACTGTTCTATTCCTTCTAAGGGTTACGTCACAAAATGCTCTTGAGAAAGAAAGTCTCACTGAAGTCATCTTGTATGACTTGACAACAGAGCTCGAAAATCAGATGTCCATTTTTATGGGGATGATGACCAGACCTTGGTTGTCTCACAAGAACCCCACAAATGCCTTTCTGCTGTGTAACATGTGGCACCCGTAGATTTATGAGTTAAAAATGACAGGTTGTGGGAAAATAATAGTGTATGCTTATCATAAGGAATACAGTTCCTAAGGGCTTGAATTGAGTACGAGGATCACGTAACCTTTGAACACACACTAACACACTCCACTTGTCTGATCAATACCCTGTGGGAAGAGTGACAGCCTTATTGGATTAGGACAGAAAAGTGGGTTAAGTGCCTTCTTGGATGCCACAGATATGTCAGATGTAAAGGTGCATTCTGTCATAGGGACAAAGGAGTAAAATGCCTTGATTCTGTAAAAATTTAGAAGAGTTAAAAGTGATGAACTAGAGGTCTCAGACGTCAGTACAGAATAGGCCTATAAGTCTTCCACGACTGATCTGATCAGTGAATTTTGTATTAGAACATCAAATTCACACATCAAATTATTCATTCATATTCATAAGAAAATGTATTTTACATTTATATTTTATGTTTTGTTGACATTTTTATCATATATATAATTTAATATTATGATATCAAATATTATAATAATGATTATTCTATCATATATTATTATAATAATTTTACCATAATATAATTTTATTTTGAAAAAAAAAAATGTAATTCATGCACATCCAGTTTTACAGTTTAAGAGCAACATTGACAGATACTGTATTAAATATATTTCAGGTCACCTCAAAAATAAAAGTCATCAGTGAAATGACAAGTAACAAAATTAACCAAAGTCTAGAATGAAGAGTCTCTATCTTAACTTTTACAACAAATACAATGGTAACATTTGTTATCAATATGCTATATGAGGCAGGCTTGCAGTCTGATGACCATTGCTGTTTTGTTCTGGAGGTCTCTGTAAAAGCACTGGGTGACCTCAGCTGTCAGTAGGGCACGAGCCTGTGAACGCCCCACCTCGCACACCCTAAATATCTAAATGCATGTGTCATTTGATCAGAAAGTAAAAAGTATAACAGATGCTCCTGCAGGGAGGCTTGTGGCGTTTTTTGTTTTACATTTGTGGGGTCTGTCTTGAACACAAAAGTGTATATTCTTGAATCTTAAATATTTTTTTACTTTTAACTCTTTTGGTGAATTGGCAAATTTTAATGAGAGAAAAAAAATCATCAACTACATTCAAATAAAATATGCATGTTAATGCTTGAAATGCATGGACCATTAAGGATACACAGTGGGTATAGAAAAGAATCACCCCCTTCAAAATAATCACATTTTGTTGCTTTGCAGCCTGAAATGAAGACAGGCACCGTTTTTTTTTTTTTATCCAGCTGTATTTACTCAGTGCAACTTATAACATCCAAGTGAAAGATATAACACCAACATGTCAGAAAAAAGTAAACAAATAAAAAAACAGAATCACTGAGTTGGAAAAAGGATCACCACCTTGTGTTAGTATTTTGTTGAACCACCATTTCTTTTAATTACAGCCTTTAGTCTGTTGGGATATGTCTCTTCTAACTTTGCAATATTTACCCACTCTTCTTTGCAGGTGGTGGTGATCGTTTGTGGACTGCAGTCAGGATATTACCAGCTCCATGCTTTACTGTATAATGCTGTTATTTGGATGGTGAGCTGTATTGGATTTCCGCCAGACATATCGTTTGGTGCGACGTCCTGATCCAGGGAGGGTCTGTGTTGTACTAAATACCTTCCACTTCTTAACAACAGACTTCACTGTGCTTCTAAGCATTGATAAAGCATTTAAAAAAAATGTTGTATCCATCTCCTGACTTGTGCCTGTCCACAACTTTTTCCAACTCAGTGATTCTGTTATTTTTTTCTGCCTTGTTGGTGTTATATCTTTCACTTGGATGTTATAAGTTGCACTGAGTAAAAACAGCTGGATAAAACTGTGTCCGTCTTCATTTCAGGCTCCAAAGCAACAAAATGTGATTATTTTAAAGGGGGTGATTCTTTTCTATACCCACTGTGAATGAAATGAGCTGGTGAAGTTCATGAAAGATCTCAACATTCTTCATTCTCTTCATTAGATGCAGCAGAAGGAATGTCCCGTCCTGCTGCGGGCAGTGGTGGACGAAGTACACAAATCAAGTACTTGAGTAAAAGTACAGGGTTGCGTTTCCCGAAACCTTCTTAACGCTACGTCGTTCGTAAGTTATACCTTAAGTTGTACCTTTACGTTAATATGTGTTTCCCGAAACGTTCTTAGTTAAGTATACCTTCCGTAAGTCATTCGTTAGTAAGGTTAGTCTGGACCCTTCTTAGCTATACCTTATCGCTGTTCACAGTTCACTCCGCTAGTGGCCACCACTGTGCAAAAAGCTTCTTCACATTTCAGTCGATACGATTGTAATTCTGTGGCAAGAAAAAGTGCAGAACCAAATAAATATCTGTGTTATTTTAATGTTTCGTTTTTTTTTTTTTTTACCTAAAATAGAGACACAGATGTTGATGTGTCTGCATTCAATCATTTCAGTGGGCTTAAACAGATCACCCTTTACAGCAGATTTAGTTCACAAACAACTGACAGCTTTGACCTAAATATGACTTTCAGTTACAATAATTAATCCTAAAATTCGACATTAGTAACTTACTTTTAACAGCATCAGACAGGCGCCCGCTCACAAGATCTCCAGGTTGTTACTTGTGAATTCAGTTCACTGCAGACTCGCACTAATTTTGAATACTCGTTTGAATCAGTGAGTTGTCGACTCGAGAACAGCTGCAGTCGGATCATTTCAATTCGTGAATGAATCGTGTGGTGCGATTTGCGAGCCGATTTAATGGGTTCATTGAAAAGAATCAGTTCGTTCATGAATCAGACACCGCTTCTGCGTCTCGGAGCACGTGATATATTATAAGGAGTAACGATAAGTTTTATGAAATGTAGTGAAGTAAAAAGTACGATCTTATGCTTTGGAATGTAGTGAAGTAAAAGTAAAAGTTACTCAAAATAAAACTACTCCAGTAAAGTACAGATACTTGAAAAATGTACTTAAGTACAGTAACGAAGTAAAGCTACTTCGTTACTGTCCACCACTGGCTGCGGGTCTCATTTTCTACGGCTAGTGTGAATAAACAGAAGTATGCATGTAGGAATGTCTGACACTTGACTGCAGCTTGTGAGTTGCCCCACGTCAACATGATAGGCTATGTGACACTGTTTTTCTGCTCAGAAAGCAGCCTGTATAGCCTAATGGTGTTTTGAGTGAAGAGACACTGCTGTACAACCTAAAGCCCAGTAAAAAGTTTTCAAATTAAACTAAATTAGATTTAAAAGAAAAACAGCTAGCCAGTGAAACCATCCTACTGTATATATTCTGCCCTACAAAGGTGAAATGCAATAATTACACCAAAACTGAAACTGAGGCAGAGGCATAAATTGACACAAGCTTACACGGGTGTGGGCTGCCGTCATTCACTTCAAACATTCACTGATGAGACTATAGAGACTGAACAACTGAACAGGCTCACTGGCATTTCATTGGCTCAAGGGAGGACTGTCAATCATTCCTACAGCACCTGCGCGCGCCTGAGCCATTAAATGAGCGCCGCTTGACGACTGCGCGTGAAACTCAGAAACCCCTTCTGGATATCCGTTCGTCTTCAGCGGCCCGGTAAGTGTGTTTTCTGCCGTTTTACTTTTCTTAGCGAGGATACAAAGATAACATAGTGTGAAGGTCAATTAACCGATCTCATAACCTGCTGAAGATTTGTCTAAAAAGTTTTGTAGAGTTCATTTGCACGTGAATCGATGGTCTCGGCTCATCTTCAAATGTCACTTTCACGGATCCTGTGGATTTCACCTATTATTTTAACAAGTCATTAAAAAGAGTTGGTCATTAAAATATTCAGTGACATTTTAAAACGAATTTAATTGCAACTCAGGCCCAATTTTCTTTATTTTTACACACATGAACACACCTGCATGCTCACAAATACTTAACAAATAGTTATCTATTTGTTTTTTATATATTGATGACTTTTGGATACAACTTTAAACAGTTTTATAAAGTTTAAGATGTCCGATATCTGCATTCAACTATAATAAGTGTACAATTCCTGGATGTTTGTCCAGTCAGGATATTGTTATGGGAGCAGATGCCACATGAGATTTATATTTTAACTGACTGGTGATCAGATTAGAGGAGATTAGAGAGAAACTTCCTCTAGGATAAAACTGACAGGGAAACTGTCCATGTGCAGGAGACGCCTGCAAAGAATACAGTGTGTATACACTTGTACAATAGGCTATATCATATCCATAAAATGATATCTGCCAATCAGCGAAGTTTGCTTTGGATCTGTGCTAAAAATCTGTGCTGTTCCTGTGCAATAAAACTGTCAGATCTAACTTAATCTGTTTGTTGGTAAGAATTAATTTTGTGCCTTTTTCGCTCTAATTACACAGTAAAATGCAGTGCAATCTAATTTATTCCTCATTTAATCCTTTCATTATTGTTTTGCCGTGTTTTTTTGGTTTTGTTTTTTTTTAACTCTGGCTCTTATGTCCTTTCATTTCAAAACAATTTTGATGTCAGGGAGAACAGAGACCCAATGGTTTGGTGTGCCACCGTGTTGGATTTATTAGGCAATGTACCCTTGGGTGGCCTTGTTATTTTTAGATTGTGCCTGAGTCTAGTGGAATTCTGGAGCACAAGGGGTTACCAAACTCATCCATAGATCTGTATAGATGATGCTTTGATATTAATTGAAATGATCAATTAGATCAAATTAAATGATGTCTCTCCTGAAAACATTTTTGGACAGTCATTTTATATTTCTTTACACAATCCTAAGCAAGTATACATTTCAAATAAATGCTGTTCTATTGAACTGTCTATTCAAAGAATTCTGAAAAAAATGTTTTAAGCTTTCCACAAAAATGTTAAGCAGCACAACGGTTTTCAACATTGATAGTAATAAGAATTGTATTAGGCAATGTACCCTTGGGTGGCCTTGTTATTTTTAGATTGTGCCTGAGTCTAGTGGAATTCTGGAGCACAAGGGGTTACCAAACTCATCCATAGATCTGTATAGATGATGCTTTGATATTAATTGAAATGATCAATTAGATCAAATTAAATGATGTCTCTCCTGAAAACATTTTTGGACAGTCATTTTATATTTCTTTACACAATCCTAAGCAAGTATACATTTCAAATAAATGCTATTCTTTTGAACTGTCTATTCAAAGAATTCTGAAAAAATGTTTTAAGCTTTCCACAAAAATTTTAAGCAGCACAACGGTTTTCAACATTGATAGTAATAAGAATTGTTTTATTGAGCACCAAATTAGTTTATTAGAATGATTTCTGAAGGATCATGTGACACTGAAGACTGGAGCTGAAAATTTAGCTTTTTTATCACAAGAATAAATTAAATTTTCATTTATTTAATTATTTTTAGGTAGAAAATAGTTATTTGGCGAGCATAAGAAACTTCTTTCAAAAACATTTTAAAAAATCATACCGACTTTAAACATTTGAATGATAGTGTATATACATGTATTTTTGCGTTAAAATTTATTGCATATTGATAATGTGTTTTCTCTTGTGATCTGTAATAGCAGTTGTTTTTAATATGTTAATGAAATTAACATTGTAATGCTGAACTGTGTGGGTTGAGTCCAGGGCAGTGAACAGCTTTATATCTACAGCAGATGAGTAGGGTTGTGTTGAGTCAGCAATAGATACTGTCTATGTATGAAACATGGACAGAGACAGGAAGTCTGGAGTCGGTCTCACATTTCCTGGGAAAAGAAAAAGCAGCCTGGGCACCCACAGACACAGGCCCTGCTGTGACATGACAGTGTAAGTGTTCTAGACAAGTACTTGTGTTAGTCAAAGACCTAAAACTAAAGTATATTTAGCAAAGATATGACTGAAAGTGTATCAGAAGTAGTGAATTTAAATTGATTCTATATAGTAACTGATGGTGCATTGCAGCATTTCCTGTACTTTTCCGCTGCTAAATCTACCATATTTTACCCTAGATATTAGTACAGCAAAATAAAACAAAGACAGCATGTCATTCAATTTTGTTGTCTTTGTGGCTGCATGTGCAAATCAACACACAGCACAACCATTGTAGCTTTATGAGGTCAGAAAGACTCACTGGAGTCAGCTGGAAAAATTATTCTGTTGGAAACACTGGTCGATCCCTTGCTTTGCTTGTAAGTTTTACTATGTTGTTTCATATTCCTGCATTACAACTGATGTGACAATCACATGAGGGCATATCTGGCCTATTGTAAAGATATTTAACTGGAAATCGGGTGAATGAAGCAAGAAGCTACTTCAAGGGGCAAGTTCTAGCCTAAAGCCTTACTTGGATGTCTATGAAACCTGGCAGTGTCTAAGGGGTCACCCACTCAGAAACGGGGAACCGAACCCTATCAGGCAGATTATTTATGGTGCATCACAGAGACTGTTTTACCACTGCTGCTATTCACGGAACCACATTGATCTTTAGAAAGCAGGAAGCAAGTGGTGATGAATGGACATTAACTCATGTAGCCAAATATCAGTGTCACTGTATGGCGTTTGACCTACATATCGCCCAGCAACCCTTTGAGACATTAGACAGATGTCAAAATACAGCCTCACCAGTATGGATGATGATTTTATAGTGTCATATAAGGATAAATGTTTCTTTTTTTATTCTCCAGAGGCAGGATGGAAGAAGCAGAACTCTTAAAGGAACGCCTTCAGGCTATTACAGTAACCATATGGGATTGTCTATACTTATTTCAAGGCTTTGGAATACTTAATTCTGATTGGTTAAACACTGCATTCTGTCCTTAAATATTTTTCTAGAATGATCACTGGACTGTGTTATTTTAGTATTATTTATACACTATTGTAATATTTATGAATATTTTGATATTCATATTGTTTATATTTTAATTCATTAATTGAATTAATTAACTAAAACAAATTGTATTCATTTTGGTTAACAGTTACAACAAGTGTATTGCAACCACTTACATCGCTATGCTAGTTCAGTGTCTCTATTTAAACGTGTTCATTTTTTCCACAGAATAAGAAAAAAATCCAAGAAGAAATTGCCCACAAACGGCTTGAAATTGACATAGAGAAACTAAAGCTTCAACATGTCAAGGTACCTTCTTGATGTTAGAAGGATAGTTTCCTGTTCATCAGCATTTTTCTGAATTGTTATGGTCTGGGATTTGAAGCATCTCTATATGTCTTTCATAGAAAAGGTCCATGAGAGATCTGTGGCTCATGGATGGGATGAACAGCAGTAATGCACAGGAAACACAAAAAGCTCTTGAAGATGCACAACAAACTAAACACCTCAAGAGCAACATACATCAGTAAGATGAAAGAATAAAGTTACATTTATTGTAGGGGGTTCATTACTGTATCATACACCATATTTAAGCCAGTAACTGATCTAAACCAGTGGTTCCCAACCCTGGTCCTGGAGGCACCCCAACACTGCACATTTTGCATGTCTCCTTTCTCTGACACACCAATTTCAGGTCTTGGAGTCTCTACTAATGAGCTGATGACCTGAATCAGGTGTGTTTGATTAAGGAGACATGCAAAACGTGCAGTGTTGGGGTGCCTCCAGGACCAGGGTTGAGAACCACTGATCTAAACCATTTTGCTATGTGCACTGACATCTCCTGAATACAAATCATTTTCAGTCTGAACACTGTATTAAGAGTTCAATCTCTTAAAATCCTTTTTAACTCTGAGAACTTCAGGGCTGGTGTGATGTTTCTCAGCTAATGTCATTTGCCCTGTGGTGCCGTAATGAAATCTATTAGAGTGAAGTATGAGGCAAGAGGTGTGCAATGCTTTGTATCAGCATTGCATTGTAGTAGCAATGATGCTAAAAAAAGCTGCTACCATGTCCTTGAATGTCTGCTACATGCAGGTCGCACCCTAGCACAAATATTGCTGTTGGTTTCATTCTTAAATAATTCAGACTAATGACGATTCTGACTGACCATGAGAGAGCAAATTCAAATGTCTGCTATTAAATATTTGTTTATATTGCATTCATAACCAGTTAACATCGCATTGCTTCTTGGGTCTGGCATGTCTATGCAACAAAAAGTGTAAAGAGTGACAGGTGCTTTGTCAGGGATGGCACTGTTGTGTGACTTGACCCAGTAATAGAGGTCAATCTGTGTGTGTATGTGTGTGTGTGTGTGTGTGTGTGTGTGCCAGGAGAACTCTAGAGAACTGCATATTTAGAAAGTCTTATTTAAACAAGTATTGTAACAAATTCTCTGTAGAATAGAGAAAGAGATTGAAGCATTGGAGAGAGAGGAAATGAACATCTCAACAAATGAGGGGCTGATTCTAAAGAGGCTAAAAGCCATTGAAAAGTCTCCAGAGGATATAATTAAGGTACACTGCTTTTGATGTGGTTAAGAAATTAAAATGATCAGAAACTGTGCTTTTTGCTTTAACTATGTAGACTTTATATTAGGACATTACTGTGTTTGTATCTCCACAGGCAGCGAATGCAGATTTCATATCAGGTAAATACTGTAAAACTCCATCACAATGCTGTACGGACCATAAAACAAATTGCCAGCATATTTTTGTGTTAAATTTTGCCATATTTATGATTATTTTCACTCTTTTTGCAGAGTCGATCTATATTCATTCAACAATTCCAAATATGCTAAAGCCCAGCACACCCCTATTAAAGCAGAGGAAGAAACAAGACCTGGAAACTGAAGCAAAAACTGACCAAACCAAACCTGGTAAACTGAAAGAAGACTTCGAACTGTTTTCAATATACAGTGTTTCTGGAATGTAGAACAGCAAAATAAATGTTTTAGATAGGGTTTTCCAAACTGGGTTAACAAATGCCTGGTAAACTCCAGGGGGTTCATGAGTTGCTTACTTGAAGCTAATTAAAAAAGTGAATTAAATTCTAAAAATGTAAAATTACAATAATTTTAAAAAGAAAATTTAAATGAATCTCACTGAACCAAAATCAAACATTTTATTTGTTTACCCTCTTGTCCTGTGACCATTAACCAAAAGCATATAATTGGGAACATGCAATATGGTGTTAAATTGAAACATTATTTGAGTGTATTTTAAGTAAATATTTTAGATCAAATGAGTTTGGATGACAAAAAAGTTTGGAAATCCCTGTTTAAATATTGTGCAAAGATGAAGTGTGTCATTTCTGTGCCACTATCAATCAAAAAATAATAATTGTTCAAAAATTGTCAAACAGGTTTGCTTTACAGTCCCACTGCCATCAGTTGGTCAAACAGATAGTCCTGCCTCCAAACTCGCCCCATTGGCTGAGCTAATGTTTTAATGTTGTGATGGCACTATAGCCACACTTTATGGACATGGACACACAAATGTCTTATTTACTGTTAATTTTGCATATTGAACTTGGATACAAGAAAGAATTAAACGTTTTAAATAATTCTAATATATTGCACACATTCCATTTGTCTCTTACAGCTTTGTTCGCCATGGAAATTAACGTTCAGAAGGACTTGCGCACAGGGGAAAGCCAAGTTCTCTCCACCGCCACCATTTCTCCCCAAGAGCTCCAGCAGAAAGGCATCAAAGTCTACGACGATGGCCGGAAGTCCGTCTACGCCCTGCGTACAGACGGCCACCAGCCAGGTGCGAATGGAGTGGATGAACTAAGTCCCGTAGAGGTCGAAGAGCTGCTGAGGCAGGCCTCTGAGAAAAAGAAGAGGTCCAATCAGGTTCAGATAGACCCTTCATATCCCTACAACCTCTCCCATGAGTTACAATCAGCCACTGAAATCAGGGAGAGCCATGAATCCAATGGATACCAAGATCCCTATAGTGTTGACTTAGCAGCATGGCCTGAGCTTGTGTACAATGATGACGTGTGCTATCCAGAGGACGCGGGTCAAGGACTTCCTCTCCTGCCAATGCCTAATTACAATGACAGACCAGACGAATACTATCACAACAGCCGTGAGCTACACAGAGGGGAAAGACACGCACATGGACAGTATTACAACCAAAGAGAGAACCACCGGGGAATGCGACGTTTGGATTGTGACATCTCAAAACACAGCCTGTGTTCAGCCTACTCTGAGGACTCCAAACTCAGTGTACTGAACGCCATGCCATCGGACGAGCCAGTCACCATGATCTTCATGGGTTACCAGAATGCCGGAGATGACAGCCAGAGCTATGAGGGCTCAGTTCGGGCAGAGTTGGTGATTATTGGAGATGGTGAAGATGAAGCGAGCAAGAGCTTCAACCCCCATCAGAACTGCAATGCCAACAACGCCTTTCCCTACTCTGCTGGACGGAAGGGCAAAAGAGACGGCACGGAAGACCCGTCAGCTACAGGTACTCCAAAGATCAAAAAGGTCAAAAGGAGACACAAGCACTGCTGTGTGTTGATGTAGTTTCACTAACACTCTATCAGCTCTTCTATGATGCAGCTTCTCACCAGACTGACTTTTCTCGCTCTGCATGCTGGACACTGCTGTCTTACATTGTGGTTTTCAGTTTTTCAGTGTCTTAACAAACTGCTTGCTATCCTTCGTGTTGGCATTTGCTTATGTTTTCTGACAATGTGTGTAGAAAGACATTGTTATATATGTGTAGCTTTAGAGCAGGGGTCTTCAAATGGCAGTACTGCAATTATCATTTAATCTCAATTAAATTTTTGTGGAAATGTTGGAGAAAAAAACGGTATTAAGTTAACTAAAAAATTGGTAAGTTCATCTAAATACACTACTGTTCAAAAGTTTTGGGTCGCTAAGAGTTTTTTTTTTTTTTATCTCTTGCTCACCAAGGCTGCATTTACTTGATCAAAACCCCAGTAAAAACTGTAATATTGTAAAATATTATTACATTATAACAATTTAAAATAACTATTTTCTGTTTTAATATATTATAAAATGTAACTTATTTCTGTGATGGCAAAGCTGAATTTTCAGCAGCCATTACTCCAGTCATATGATCATTCAGAAATCATTATAATATGCCGATATGGTGCTAAAGACACATTTCTTATCAGTTTTGAAGATTGTTGTGCTGCTTATTATTTTGTGGAAATAGTGATCCATCTTATTCAGAAATATTTGGCGAACAAAGTTCAAAAGAACAGCATTTATTTGAAATAGAAATCTTTTGTAAACAAAAGGTCTTGCTGTTGATCAAAGACTGTCATTTCTGATCAAGTAAATGCATGCTTGCTAAAAAAAAAAAAAAAAAAAGAATTCTTTGAATACAGACGTTTTATCTTTTTATTAAGATGTATATTATTCTACATTTTTATTTCACTTAATACAGGTATGTGCTCAGTACTGATTTTGAATGAAGATGCAATTGAATGAATGTAAGCATCATAGGTATGTAAATGCATTCTGTAGGGCTTGTATACATGTTATTAATGGCCATTCTTAGAATGCATCTCTTAAATTTGACATAAAAATGTGTCTATTATCCACCAAGGGATCCTTGAAAAAGGGTGAAGACCCCTGATGTAGAGCTTTACCTCCCTCTAGTGGTGAAGGGATGGAAATTCACATCTCTTTCAAAAGAATACATGCAATATGCAACCACTCTCATTATTCACCTGCCAAACTTTCTATGCTACTACTTTTTGCATGTTAACTGTGCTTTTGCCACTTGCAATAATTAGCATGACGGCATGCAATTTGCTGTGACATGTACAGCCGTGCTTGCTGTCATGGATTGTGCAAAGAAGAAAGTCATATACACCTAGGATGCATCGGGGGTGAGTAAAAAACAGCCTAATTTTCATTTTTGGGTGAACTAACCCTTTAATAGGTGTTATTTTTGTAATTATATACATTTCTTTTTTCCCATTGAAATTAATTTTTAGTCATTAAATGTGCTTCTGTCTTTTTTATATTTAGCTTTAATTTATTTAACTTTTAGTAATTTTAGTTTTTTCAGTTGCCAAGGTAAGTGTGAATTTGTTGTCACTATTAATTGTTGTTATATTGTAAGAGCTGCATTATGGTTTTTTGAAAAGTTATTTTGTGTTCCACAGGAAATGTATACAGCACACCGATTTTGAAAGTCATGAGTAAATGACTGAATATAAATTTTTTGAGTGATCTATTCCTTTAATGCTGAAAAACAGACTTATTACAACGTCACCACCCACACAAACGTTGCATGAAAAGATAAGTGACTCACAGCTTTTGACACCAAACTAACTTAAAGCCATTATGACAATATGTTGCTGCTATAGACTTGATATGAATTATGTCATTTAACAGTATGCTTTATCTAAAGAATGGGGGACACACTCCCACACATGACCCCCTCTGTGTCATCTCTTCATTGATTACACAATCAAGCCCTGTCAATCTTTTTCAAAAGCTCACACACACACACGCACACAGACTCCAGTGGTGGGCAGATAATTTGCTGCGCATGTCTTCCAACCTTAAGAGGCTTTTAAGAAGGCTGGGTCATGTGTTGAAACACTCTTATATAATCAATCTTGGAGATTATATAAATGGGGATAGCTTGTTTCTAAGGACAAATGTCTTTATAGCTAAAGTTTATTAAAATTATCCTTTTATTTAAATCGCACAAAAAGATTAATCATTGAGGAAGTGTAATGCTTCTGAGGGCTATCAGTGAAAAGCTACTGGTGCTGGATCTGGTGTGCATCCGCATGTCCATGCTGTCCGTAATCTTCTGTGTGGTTGGGAGGATAGAATTGAGCAGCTAAATCAATGTCTTTTCTCTCATGCTCCCTACAGCATTACAGATACAGATGGAGAAACTGGGCCAAACCGCATAACACACATTCACAGTGTGGCACTCACACTCTGGGAACTCTGAGACTCTTGCACGAATTGTCCAAAGCGGCCAGCGAAACGAGGAACGTGAATCAACATTTTGGCGGAGTCTTTTGAAATTAAAATGAGGATGTGCTATTAACACTTTTCAAGAAATTATTTCACAAAAATAAGTGCTGAATTTGAACTCTAATTGTTTTATGCTGCTGTCAATTTTATTTATTCCCACACATAATTTAAATTCAATTTTAATGACAATGATGCTTGACAGAAACACTACAGCTATGACACCATCTAATGTTTGAAAGGACATGCCAATAAACTCAATAGCTGTCATTTTGAAGGCTGCGTCTTATAGAGGTTGCATCTGTCTGCCACATACATATTATGTTATTCCTTGTGAGGCATAAATTACTATGATTTCTTTCATACTCTGCAATGTAATGGTTACTTTTCCTAAATGAGATGGCCTAAATGACGTATTCAGCCGACAAATGTGACATCAGGAGCTTTTGAATTGAGCGACAGCAAATATTATGAAAGCTATACATGAGAGCTATAAGACTGAACCTCCAAAAAGGAAAATATTGCATTTTGTGCAAATATATTTTTAGGTATACTCTCCTTAGGTATATGGGTCTGTGTATGTGAGAGCTGGAGCTTGTCATGTCTGTCAGTGGAGTAACTGTGCTGCCATTGGTCGATTCCCACGCATTCAATCACAGCTGTGGCTTGTGTCACACACACTAACACACATACATGCACTCAGAGGAAGAAACGAGACCTTCACTGTTAAACCAGATGACCTCAAAGCTCCATCACTGACAGTAAGTATCCAAATTCCAAACTTTTCTATTGATGCCTGTGGAATATGTGACACATCTGTCAGTCTCTGGATGGAGAGATGAGTCATCGTACACCTGCGTCTGGTGAAAAACATTTTTATGCATCTTTAAGAGAGTTTAAAAAGGGGTCAGATATACACAAGAGTTTTAGCAAATTTGTGCATTGTGGTGGGAAGGTCTTAAGGAGAAAAGACAGGGAGGAGAGAAAGACAATGCCTTTTTTGGTGTTATATTTTCAATTTGTTGGATTGTATTCATGCTGCTTTTCTGTCAAGCGTGTGGGATGGTAGCTACAAAAACACAGAAGACGAGGGGGGAAACATGCAGAGCCTGAGCCAGTAACACAGGCAGCAAACAGACAGAATATCCTTCACCAAACTTATACTGTCGTTATTTTTACCATGTTGTTCGTCAAGCAGATTGGAATTGCATATTCTGGAATAAAGCTTTGCCTCATTCCCTGGCACATCCAAAAATGATTTCAATTTATTTACAAGATAATGGAAATTTACATTTGTCAATTTACAATCATATCACCCAAGATGGGTGTTAATAATAAGTAAACATGGTCTAAGGTCCAGGATAAGTTTGCACTAAAGGATTGTATGCATTGTCAAAAAAAAACTCTAACCTTTAACTCTTGCTAATCATGGAATAATTTTTTTTAAAAGACATGGATATGAAGTTAGAATGTGGAATTACACAATAAATAAGAGTTTACATCTCAGCTGACATCACTGCAATAGAACAGATGTGGCAGGTGAGTAATACAGATTTCTGGGTTATTCCTGGAAAGCATGATGATATGAGGATTGGTTTGGCTTAGAGTCTAGTCCTTGTCATTACTAATGGAGGATAAATTTGGTCCACAGAGATGGGTATTTAAAAAATCAATTAATCAATCAACATACCACAGCATCATATCTAACTTTATTATTCCAAAACCAAATGTAAGAGATTTGTCTATGTCATGCAGCACAGAGGATTCAGAGTTGAAAATAAAGCATCAGAGGATTTTAAGTACAGAAGCGGATTTCTCCAGACAGATTTTTTCTTTTATTTTCTGGAAAAGCACATATAAATGCATATTCACACTTTAAGAAAACATCTTGGAGCCCTACTTGCTGAAAGGACCTCCGTTTAATAGTCCCAGAAGGTGCTCTTTGGTTTGGTTCAAAAGTTTCTATAGGCATATTCACACTATATTTACATTTTTAAATTAGGATACGGATTAATACATTCAGCTGGTCATAATCACAAAATTAACCTGTGCAGCAAGATTAAGATCTGTCTTGTATAAAAAAGTCATAAAGTGTTTGTTTATTTTTTTTAAATATAGCCTATAAATATTATACAACCGATTGCTCATAGTTTCATTAGGTTTCATTAGGTAAATAAATATATAAATTCATATTATTATAATAATAAATGTAAACGGAAATGTTTTTCGTTCTACACATACACTCATATATATAAACATGTGAGAATAATGTTGCACAGCGAGAGTGACCTTGGTCAGAATTATGGACTGTATAGCCTATGTTCAAAATCGCGTAGGCAAAGCCAAGCGTTCAATAGTTGGTTGAGAAAGCGTGGGCACCCAGAGGTACAGAGCGGATCTGTAGCTCAGTGCAACCAGTGCTGGCGGGGCGCAGACATTCAGTTGCGGCCGTTTCTGTCAATATCTGTTCTATCTGCTCTATTTCACTTTTGACAATCGCTGACGGATCGATAGGTCTGAACAGGAGTTCGTCGCGAGCTTGATTTTCCTTCTTCGAGTTCAACCATATGAATTACTCCCGACGCGTCGCCATTTGGTTACTGTCGTTATCTGTACAAATTATACATGCATGTGCGTATTGCGGTAGATTGGAGATGATATCCGTTTGGCTCCTGTTTTTAAAGCTGCTGGTAGGTATGAAAATACTGAAGCTTTGTGCATCTGTTGCATCCGTATCTGCTTTGGCGAACATCTGCATGCGCAAGGCACGAAGAGGGAATGATGCAGGAATTCAGTGTGCTGCATTTTGTACTGTCGTGCTTGGCCGAGTGTCCAGTGTATTTCAAAAGAGTTGAGATGCTGCGTTGTCTCCATCCGACATTTCGAGATCGATTGGTAATACATTCCATATCTGCTTGCAGTGTTAGTGCTGCAGTGATACAAAATATACACACTCCGATTTTTCACAAATCAAATGCACTTCAGTAGGCTATCTACCATTTACAAGAGAGAAGTTTGACTGTGAAAAAGAAAAGGAGATGCTAGGCAGAATGACATTAGTCACCATTCACTTTCATTGAATGGAAACAAGTTGCATGAATGGAAAGTGAATGGTGACTGAGGCTGTTAGTTCATAATCCCTTGTCCCTACATCTTAATTTTTTGGGTGAACTATCCCTCAGTCACAGTCGCACTTAATAGCTGATGACATCATTTTGTGCTCTGCAGAATTCCACCTCTGGTAAAGTGGATGTAATGTTCAGACATCAGAAATGTATTTTCCAAAACAGGCAGGATGAGTCTGGGGTTAATGGTGGTCACAGCACCAGCAGGCATGCATAAAAGAACATCCCATCTGCTCGATATGAGCAATAGATTTGTTTCTCTCTCTCTCTCTCTGGATAAACTCAGGCTGATAGCCATAATAAACCTACGGCATGGCACTTTGAATAGGTTGGCTCTGACTAGTAAGCTGCTTCTACATGGCTCATAAACAGGACAGCCTCCTCAGATCTAGCATGTTGCCAAGCAACCACTACTTTTCAGGGGAAAAAAACACAAAACAGACTCTCTGAAATCATACTGTATCTTCCCAATAAATTATGACTATGACAGTATCATATGAAATGGCATTATGATCATCCACATACTGCAGAGAAGGGGATGGCAAACTGCTAATTGATAAATGAGGAAACAGGAATTTAAAATTATTTTAGGTAGTTCTTGTAACTGTGCAGTCATCTAATTAAATTTGGATTGATAGTACTTTCAAGAATGAAGTGTATTTCCTCAGAAGTGCTTCCCTTCACTTTATTTAAGCTTAGAAAGTTGTGATTGCAACTTGCCATAGACCTTTTTCATGTATTTTAGAGCAGGGTTTTAAGAATGTTTCTAGAGCACTGCACATTTTGGATGTCTCCCTTTTTAAACCCAGTTGAATTAACTCATCAGCTCATTTCATAGCTTTTATTTAAAATGACCTAAATTAGGGGTAAAATTAAAATAGAATTGTGTGTTTTCTTTAGAAGTCTCATATTTTGTGGCTTACTTCTATGAGGCTACTAAGACATCCTTTAAATGTAGATTGGTGGCTTTTTCAGCCCACTTTGAGATTGCATGCTCTGGTAGAAACCACTTATCATGGTTATTTGCTATCAAAGAGGTCCACCCACATATATCTCACAGCATGAATACAAGAAGAGCTTGATGAAACTAAAAAAGTGACGCTGTGCAGTTCTGCTATAGAAACAGCACAAGACTGGTTCTTCTAGCTTAATGTTGTTATATTAATTGCATCCAGAACTTTTCAAGAAGCAAGACTAGGAGAAAAATTGTTAGTGTTTGACATGTTTAATGATCTCAGAATTCCTATGCTTGGTGTTCCTTTAATTCTAAAAAGATCTTTTCAATGTAACTTCCATAGAGAGTCACAGCTGGTGTGCGAAGGTCATATGGAAGTGAACTAAATGAAGGCAAAAGCACCTCTGTAAATCAGCAGCAAAAAGAGCAGGAATGCCTCTCTGAGGCAGTCACCATGGAGACCAACCAGCTTTCAGAAATGGCTGATCTAACAGACTGTAAAATGAATCCTGGGTGTACAGAGGACCAGACATGTCAATTCACTGAGGAGGTGAATGAATGTTTTGTCACATATTTCCCAGAGTGCCTGGATACCAAACAGAGCAACCCCCATGAAGATCTGGATGGGCAAGAAAAAGCCATAATTAATGAATGTGATAGCTCAGGTGAATCTGATGGAAGCAAAGACTCTCAAGAAGGCATTACGGTCAAGGTCAATGAACAAGATGAACCAGATGGCAGAGAATCTTTGGCCTTTGAGTCTCACGAAGAGCCTCTTGTGAATGACAAAGCAGAAGAAGAAATGGAAATCAACAATTTCGATGATACCCAAGAGGAAGAGCATGATGAACCTGAGGAGAGGCTGAAAGCACA